CTCTTTTAAAATCTTGCAAATGAAGCAATGCAGTTCTGCACAACAACTCTTAAAACAAATATATTTAACAGAAGTGATAACAAGTATTTTTGTCAATTGGTAGCTTTTTACCTTGGAGCAGATTTATTGAACTTCAGGTTTCTACAACCAGGTGCAGATCACGAAACAAGATTTATGACTGATTCATTGTATCTGTTAGCAATGCAAATGACCAAGAATTACAATAAGCAACTTACTATCAATGATTAAGATAATACAGGATATTATGATCTTTCACTGTTTATTTTTACTGAAGAGCCTAATGGCAGCTCAGGCTCCATTCAATGATCTTAGAGCATTCAAGATTTCATTGCAGACCATGATAGATCCACTTTACTCCAAGAAGTACAGAAAGATTAGCAAAGCTCTTAACCTTAGTATTCTCAGACACACTAGATATATTACACTACAGTGTGTTATCTTTATTTTTGCTGACCAAGGCTTAGATGAGAAAGAGAGGATGAATATTTTTGTGGAATTATTAAAATATGATGTTTCAGAGATAAACAGCTTTGCTAAAGAACAACCAGAACTTTTTACACAAGTCTCTCCACTCTCAAAGCTATCAGACTTTGTTTCTCAGTAGTTTTATCTTTTTTTTTCTCTATCTTGGTATAACCTGGTATAACCAAGATGACATTCGCTCATAAAAGAAGGAATCTCAAATTTGGAGAAAAATCTCAACAATAAATCTTTTAAGACATTTGTGTCAAGTTTACATCAATTAGCAGTTGTTAATGACAAGGCTGAAAGAAACATCAAATTGGTGCAGGATTTCATTGGAATGACACATTCCGAAGACAAGCTCCCAGACACAATGATGGTGGTTTTAGACAAGTGATGGAAGGTGTATAAAGGAGCTACTAAACAAGACTTGATGAATATTTAGATAAAATAAAAGCACTTTATGGTTATATTTTTATTTTTGAAATATATTTTTTCCAACGAAAGTTTAATAGTTCTTGTACCACCTAACTTTTTTTTGTATTCCGTAGTATTTCATTTTAAAAAACATTTTAAAACATTGCAATTATAATTAAGAACAAACAAACTATAAAACTTTTTCAAAGTTGCAGTAAGTATCAATGCATTGGATGATTAAGTTTAAGTTAATTTGATTATTGTATAAAAATATTGAATACAACCGGAGTTTCAATCAATAAATGGAAAAAAAATCAATATAACTAATTATTATTTACAAATAAATAACAATTAGTTATCTCATTTTTCTGTGCATTGATAGAAAACTGTAAAATTTTGAAAAAACAAATTTAAAAATTGTTGAACAATTTTTAAATTTGTTTTTTCAAATAATAAAATATTTCTTTAATATACTGACTGAAAAAAGTTGCAAAAAAATTGTAAATCTAAAAATATTTTGTTTTTTGCTATCTGCTTTTTTCTTTGACTTGTATCAATTTTGGTAGTGGAAAAAAAAAATGTCCTAAAAATAAGAAAACAAAAACAGTAAAATATTTTGGTATATTAATTTTTTTTAAGATTTTTTTTTTTAATGTTCAATTTTTTTAAACTTTATTTAGATTTTTTATTTGGTATAGTCTGCGTTTCAATTCTTTGACTATTTTTGTTTTACTCTATTTTCTTATAGCTTTATTTTGTCGCAAATTCTTAAAACGCTTACTATATAAAAAAGTGGTCAAGTTATCTAAAAAAACTACTGAAGACGTGGATGAACAAGGCGTGCGACTGCACTCATTTCCCAGGAAGGCTTGATATATGTATATACATAACAGTGAACCACAATAACCGCCAGGTTTGATGTCTCCCCACATCCAATTTGTTTTTCTTATTAAGAAGTAACATAGTATATAAATTAGGTAAAGCTATTAAGAACCTCCATAGGAATGGTTAGAATAAAAATCTAAACTTTAGATAAAAAGGGGAGGAGCAATACATGGTTAACTTTATCAAAGTTCATATATTTCACATAATTTTATGAAGAAACCTAACTTTTACTATGTTCTTGTGTACTCCCATATTATAAATGCATTTAAAAGTGTTTGGACATATTCTATAACAGATTATGTAAGAAAAATGCAATTAACACTTTTAAGGTAAAAAATATCTAGACTAAGCTTTAAAACACACAAATAGCATTATATTTTATATTTGGTTAAAATTTTTCATGCTATTAAAATACTTTAGAAATAACAATTTTGACATAGTTATGAGTCAGCAATATATTAAATTGAATAATAAACTTGTTAACTATTTATTAAATGTTGAAAATTTCACAAGACTTGACTTCAATTGTTTAGCATAGTCTAAGTGGCTTTGTCGTCTCTTATACTTAATCCATGTCATTTTATAAATTTATGAAGAACAGATTCACTTGTTCAATGTAAATTCAAAGTCCATTATCAGTATTGGTACTTTTTAGAAATGATATAAAATGGTTAACTGCAATATGGACTTTCCACGGTATATTCAAGAAATATTATTAAAGTAAGTATTAATATATTCCATTAAATAGCATAAAACATCTTGACTTCGAAAACAACAGATTCAATATCACCAATAACTTTTTCTCCAAAGGAAGCTTCATTGCTTGAAACTTTCTTAAACATTCAACTACTAGCAATAATTCAAGCTTTCCTTGATCAGCAATATCATGAGCAAAAACATCTAATTTATCTAAAAGTCTGTTATGCATTGTCGCCATCAAATCCAATGCCATGGTGACTTCTGAAAAATATGTAATTCGAGTTTAACCACTTTTCAAATAGGCCATAGTTTTGATAATAGTTTTGATCTTTGATTTTGGTTTTCCAGCTTCTGTGTATTTACTGTAATGATAATCAAGGGAACGAAGAGTTTGTTTTTCTCCACCATCCAAATGACTCTCTCCTTCACACCACAAACAACTATATTTTCCAGCATGACTTGTAAAGCCAAACATTGAGTTTGCACACTTTAAATCAAATGCAACAGAATACTTAATATTTTGAAGATTAAGAGTATTAACTAATTTTCTAAGATTTTTTTTTATGTTCAGACACTCCTTCTACAATACCAACAATAAAACAATGCTTAACTTCAGCATCATTAAGGTCAGGTTGGTTGCTAATTTTATCATGCGAATAAAAAACATTCATAGTGACCTTTAAAAAACCTTGACCAGAATCCACAGCAACTCTTACATTGTAGAAAGAGGGTCAATATTCCTTTCAGTGATTATATTATGTATAAATTCATTAATATCCTTTATATAAACCATCGATTTATTTACTATATTGCCAGCTTCAAAAAATTCTCCTTCTTTACATGAAAAATATTCATTCATCTCTGCTTTTAAAGCCTCTAATTTTTCAATAATATTTCCTTCTATGCTACTTTGAAAGCCAAGACTTTTTCTAAATATTGAACACATTTTTTGGTTTTACACTGAGATAGTTCTAAACATTTTATAAGCTCTATGATTGTTTCAAAAGACACTTGACTAAGATTAGCATAATCGCATTTTTTTGTCTGTAGTTCCAGCTACAATAGTCAATGTTTTCCCATGAGTAGCAATTGTGAATTTTTTACCTCTGAAAAAATTTTCCTTTTCCATTTTTGTTTTTAAAATACTTGAAGCGACACATTTTGCACTTGCTGATCCGAATGCATATACTGCATTAACTAAATTTTTCACAGCTTGAACATCACTACAAAGATGAATAATGCCTGATTTAACAAATCCACAACATTTTAGGCACATGCTTTCATTTTTATCTTCATTTAACTCAGATGTAATAATGTTAATATCTTTTGATATTTCTGAAACAGAAAGTTCTTCTGATATCTAAACAAATAAATCTAAAACTATATAAACCAGTAATATAAAAAATATAACATTAATAAACACATCAATGACATATTAGTTCCTATATATAGGAATTTTAAGCTGCTTGTTATATATAACAAGCTATTTAAAAATTTTAAAATTTATAAAAGTTTATTGAATCATTCAATGAATCAACAAAAATAAAGAACTGAGCCTCAATGAATCATTGAGACACAGCTCTTTCTTTTTACAAAATTGATAAAAATAAAACTTTTAAACACTAAGTTTTAAATTTAGTTTTTTATTAATTTTATCAAATAACCTGAAAAATTTGCTTTAGCCATTTATCAAGGTATTTTGTATCATTCTTTTCCAAACAACAAAGGTTTTTATAACAATTGCTACAAATAACTTCAGAATGGTTCACTAAATTTTGATCATAGCTATCCCAAATAAAAGTTTTTATTTTTTCTTCAATAGCTTTAATTATTTTATGAAGCTTTGCTGACTTTTTACAAAAGGTCTTAAAACAAACAGCACATAAATTGTTGACCGCCATTTAGTAAAACTCAATTCGTTGTGTACCAGAGTAGGTTTGAAATCAAAAAACGCTGGTATTTGATTAGCAAATTATAGCTACTTTGTTGAAAATGGCGGATATTTTTAACTAAAAACTATACTTTTTATTTTTTGATTTTCATATATTTTTTCATTCCCCTTGTGGTTTTTACTAACTAAATATTTATTTTCATATATACAACTAAGTATTTATAAAAAAAATCTGATGTAGGGAGACTTAAAACATGGCTGTCACGTGGTTCATTGTGACATACATATAAATATCTGAATTTATTGTATTTATAAGTAAAAATATCTACAGAGCTATTAAAATAATACCATAAAAAAAAGTTCTTAGCTTAATGTAAACAGCCTAACATAAAATCGATCTTTCTTACATGAAATGTTCAACGCCCGACGCCTCATCACAAGGACTGAATATATATGTATATATAGTTTATGCTATTTATTTCACATGTATATATAGTTTATGCTGTTTATTTTATACTCTGAATATATTTGGAATGCAGTTAAATATTAGAATAAAAGTAATTGAATAACTCATATAATACCTTTTAATAAATTTTTGAAGCAAGCTGAGCAATAATTATTTCTTTCTGGACTTCCATAAAAATCACAATTTTTATTCAAACATTTGACTAAAATATTTTCCTAATAAAAATTAATTGTTTTAAAGACAAGGAAAATAATAAAAACTATTACTTTAATATTCAACAATATAATAAATATAAATATTATAATGATATTAAAATATTTTGCATACCAAACTTCTATTTTTATTAGAATCCATTTTTTCATCACACTCTAAACAATTTTAGATTATATTTAAAAATACTTTGTGTTATTTATGTATATACAGGTTTGGATAGGAATGCTAGCTAGCAAGTGCTATTGCTGACCATACAAATATTTTTATGACAACTTAACCACAACTGTTTATGTTTAGATGATTTTTAAACATTTTAGAAATGAAAAAAGAAATGCTAGCTGAAAAAAAAATATTGAAAAAAGAAAACCCATTACGAAAAAAATAATATATATAAAATATATATAAACACTAAAATATATATATAAGCACTAAAATTAAACTCAAAAAACTTGAAGCCAAAATCACTTTTTGTTACTTTTTTTAAACCTGTTTAAATTAAATCACTATAAAATTTATCTTTTGAAAAGTTTTTTTTAAAGTTATGCAAAACGCTTTTACAAATAAATAAATAGATTTTATTTAAACTATTAAAAAGTCATGTATATATATATATATATATATATATATATATATATATATATATATATATATTATATATATATTATATATGTATATATATATATATATATATATATTATATATATATTATATATGTATATATATATATATATATATATATATATATATATATATATATATATATATATATATATATATATATATATATTATATATATATTATATATGTATATATATATATATATATATATATAATATATATATATATATATATATATATATATATATATATATATATATATATATATATATATATATATATTAGGGTGTCCCAAAAAAAAAAAAAAAAAAGCTCTCTACTGATTCCCATTCTATGTGACCTAAATAAGTACTAAAAAAAATTTGACGGTTTTATTTTGACAGGAAGTGCTAGATGTAAAATCTGAGTTTTACTGTTTTAATGTTAAGCTAGCTTAACATGAATAGAAAACACATTTTAGAAAATTAAAACAAAACAATTAGATGAGTATAAATCATTTCCAATTGTTTTCTACTATTTAACTTGATAGATTATATTTATAAATATGAAAATACAAAAAAAATACATGAAAACTAATATTTATTAGCAAATTTAAGATTTTATTGCGGTGAAGCATTTCTCAAAAAATACAACTTTTTGAACAGTTCCCAAGCTCCTTTTTAGTCATAGTCTTAGTCAAGTTTTTTCTAGACTTTTTAACTACAAAAAGTACATTTTGAAGGTGATCTTCATCTCTAGTAGCTGAAATAAAATCTTTAATGAGCTTAATGTTTCTTTCTGCACCATCATTTACAACAGATATGTTTTTGATCCATGCAATAAAATCTAGCAACTGAGGATGGTTAAAAACATCTATAGTATTAAGACTATTATTAAGCCATTCTTTTATACTTGCTCTTGATATTTTAAAATGTTTGAAGAGAAGGTAGCTTTGCTCGGAAATCAACTCAGGTAGCTCTGTGGTTTCTCCAATTTGTACATTTGATGGTTTACAACGCTGAAATTCATTTGGCTCTTCAAACTCAATCAGAGCTAACAGCATTCTTAGCTTTGTTTCAGAAGGAACTTCTTTATCCCCAAAGGAAAAAACACAGAGTTACGGAGTTAAGCACCACGTATGGCGTCCCATGCTGAGAAGCAAAGCATTTCCAATATTCTTACTAACTTTTCTCAATGCATAGGCTGTCTGGATAGCTTTTAAATCATTGTAGGGAGCCAGAAATCCTAAAAAACTTTTTAAAAACCATGGAACATAGCAAATAGAAACTTGCATCCTTCAACTGCAGCATTTCTTTTCCTGTCAAGATATTACTGATATCTTTAGTCATATAAAGAGTCAGGATGTAGATCGCATCTGCTAAAAACCTTGCCTCATGGCAGGCGACAGGTTGATGGAACTTAAAATCTTGTACTTCCACTCCAAGGAAGAAGGAGGCAAGCTTACAAACTATACCATAATCATTCCTTGAAAACACTATATCAGTAGTTGCATTAGTCAAAAATGTCTTAGCTTCCTCTGCAACAGTGCGAAGAACAGAGCCAATCTTCAGATCATCTCTTTGCCAGTCCAATTTACATAAATTTTTCACTTCATTCACTTTCTCACAGATTTCAGGCCACTTGTTCTTTAGCTTGACATAAAGAGCTCTTCTTGGACCTTTAGTTTTCTCACCAGTAAGGGCAGCCATATAGTGAGATACATGTACTTCATATATATATATGGTAATTTCAAAATATCTGTAAGAATTTGGATTGCTTAATTTACTCCGCCTGTATTGCTTGCAGTTGTATCACAGCATATACCAATGATCTGCTCTTTACATCCGTAAAATTCTAAAAGATTGTGCACTTGTTCTGCTTGGTCAACTCCCTTTGAAGAGGGACATTGAACAACACCTAAAAGATGGTCTTCCATGGTATCGTCATCCGGGGAACTCACTGAGACTGCAAGTTGCTCAATTTTTTGAATAATGTTAAGCCCAGTGGTAATTTGTTCCAACAGTTTGGTATCAAAATGAAGAATAAGCCGTCGGCCTTTAAGATGATTAGATATTGAAATCCACTCCGAGTCTCCTTCAAGTTCTACATATTTGAACTTTTTTCTATGAAGTGTGCTTCGTGAAAGCGGTATATCATTAATTTCTATACCTCCAGCTTTAAATACTTCACTTAAAATTGCCAGATGAGGTCGTACACCAACATTGAACCTTGTTGCTGGAATAGCAGTACATTCAATGAGCTTTTCAACATTCACTGCTAGATTTATCCTATCTCCAGAATTGTACCTAGGTATCATTTTATAATATTTTTCTACCTATTTATAACTATATACTTTTCAATAAAACAGCTTTAGCTTGTGAAAACTACAACTATGTTATTAAAATAATACTATACCTGCGTTTCCGACCATTACCCAGGAAATCATCTTCCTCGCTGATTTCAGAGTCCTCGTTTGACTTTTCTTCCTCACTGCTGAATTGAATCTCTTCTGTCATGGAGTCATGTGACAACAAAACATCATTGATATCTCTGTCTCTCAACAAAACATCATTGATATTTCTGTCTCTCTAATTCTTTCTCTTTCAACTTATCTAGCTTGTTCTTTCTCCTGTTTGCATCCAGTACTCTTCTACTGTAGTCTTCATCGACTTTTGTTTCCATATATCCTTTCCTATGTAACTTCTGGTCTTCATAAAAACTAAGAAATATTTAAATCTATTAAGCCATTTATAAATAAATTAATAATTGTTCTAGTTTTTCTTGGAAGATGACCAAACCATGTAAAGAGTTAAACGTAAATATTTTAAAGGAAATAATATGCTATTACTTAAGTTACTTTTTTTTTTGGAATTGGAAAACTGGAAAAAAAATCTCACTACTAAAAAAAGTGTTATTTAATGAACTTACTTTATATCTATCAGCTTGGCATCATCTGTTCTCAATCTATCAGCAAGAATATCTTTTTTAAAATTCTTAGTCGAGATGTCAAAAAGCTGATAGGATTCTGTGAGAAAATCTTTCTCTAACTTTGATTGCTTATCAAGACTGCTGTTCCAGTTTAGAGAAGACAATTTAATCAATTTCTTGTATTTTAAATTAAGTTTAATGATTTTGGTCTTTATATTGTACCCACAAATCACAAATTTCTTGCCAAACCCAGCATTATCCCAAATTTTCTTAATCCTAGATACCAAGCAAGAATTATCAGGATCTGTACAAACACCATTTTCACAAACAAGATCCTTGGATTTCGATTTCAATTTGCAACCAACATTGTAGAAGTGGAATTGTATTTAACTTGTGACTCGCGAAGGATAAATTGATAGTATCTAAGAATATCACCATTAGATGGAAGCTGTCTCTGAGGTAACTCCCTCAGTGGGTACTTCAATAGGTAAATATACCTCAGCCTTTCTGTATTTTTCCGTTTTTTCTTATTCTGTCCTATCATCTTTTTTTTAGCTGTTCTACCCATCTTTATATGAATTTCGAAATAATCAGTTTTTTAACTAAATTTTTACTAAATGTTACACTTGCATCAAAAATCTATGAAGTCATTATTCCCTCTCGTATAATATTTTATCTAAGTTTACCGTTACGGCTTTTATAACCGTTTACACGAGAATTTCTTCGTGCACAAATTAGAATTCCGTCGTGCACAAATAATTTCATTTAGAAATTTTTTCCTTCAAAAAAAATTTCTTAATGGAGTTATTTGTTAACCAATCCATGGGGAATTATACCAACTAATAATATTGTCCAGAGGGAAAAATATCAATCGCTAACAACATTCATAGGGAATGATCCTATTCTATAATAATATCCTATGGGAGTTATTTGTGTACTAATTATTACATCATACTAAAACATATTAAAATACTAGATAGCGCTGTTTTTTAGTAAATACACATATGTGTACAAAACCGTAAAACTCAGAATTTACATCTATCACTTCTAGTCATTAAAAAGTTAAAAAAAAGATTTTGGTAGCTATTTAGGACCTATAGAATGGGGATCAGTTGAGAGCACATTGAAGTTTTAAAAAAAGTGTGTTTTTGGGACACCCTAATATATTTATATATATATATATATATATATATATATATATATATATATATATATATATATATATATATATATATATATATATATATATATATATATATATTATATATTATATATATATATATATATATATATATATATATATATTTAAATATATATATATATTATATATATATTTAAATATATATGTATATATATATATATATATATATATTATATATATATTTAAATATATATGTATATATATATATATATATATATATATATATATATATATATATATATATATATATATAAATATATATATATATATATACATATTATTTTAAATTTGTATAAACGTTTACTTTTTCCGAAAAGTTGCATTAAAAAACAAAAAACATTGTTTAAAAAATTACCGTATTCTATTTAAAATAGTAATTTTTATTCATTCATGCTCTGATTACTTAGTCAAGTTAAAAAAAAAAGTTTTAATCAATTCTTTGTAAAAATAAAAATAAAACAAAAAAAATAAAGCAACTCCTTTGAAACAAAAAATTGAATTCAACTTATTTATAACTATAAGTAAATTATCTTAGTAAAAGTAAAAGATTTTTAGAAAGACATGATTTAACAATTTTATGATAACAAATAATTTTAATATTTTAATAGTTTTATCATAAAAAATATCATTATTGTTAAGTTCTGCAAAATGTGTTTTAAACTATTTTGTAATTAAAATGCGTTTATTTTAAACTATAATTTATTTTGAGAAAAAAAAAATGATTTTATTTAAAGCCTGCGCAAAAAATAAAAACTTTAAAAAAGATTAACAATTAAAAGTTATTCATAATGTAACTATTTTTATAGCATTTAAATTGTTAAAACATCAAAACTGCCGTGTTAAAATTGTAAAGAAAAAAAAATATAAGCAGTTACAGTTACAGCTCAGTTACAGGTCAGTTTACAGCACGTGATCGCACACCATTCCTGTCCAACATCTGCTAGAGCAATATTATCGTTCTAGCAGGTATTATCAAATTTAGTGAAGACTGAGTTCATAAAAAGTTTTTCACTTGTTATACAGAACTCTTTTACTAATAAATGTTTTAAATTAGTATCTATTACAGCACACTCATAATGCTATGTTAACAAAGTTGCTCTTTATATCCCAACTACTTGTATATTGTTAGCACCATGCTGCAATTTTTTTATAACCGTTTTTATTCTTCAAACTATTTAAACAAGGTTTTTATTTTTTAAGTATTTTTAAGTAATGTAGCATTTCTTTTTTTTACTATTGAAAAAAAATGCAACCAAATAAAAATGCAATTGTTTAAAAGTTCTTAATGATTTAATATTGAAGAATAATTTGGTGATTTAATTTTAGCTTTCATTTGTTGATTTACATACATACATACATACATACATACATACATACATACATACATACATACATACATACATACATACATACATACATACATACATATATATATATATATATATATATATATATATATATATATATATAAATATATATATATATATATATATATATATATATATATAAATATATATATATATATATATATATTATATATATATATATATATATATATATAAATATATATATACAGGGGTGTACACTCGGACTTTTGGTCAGTCGCCAGAAGGGCGCCTGAAACTAACCAGTTTGTTAATTTTGGTCGCCCGCCGATGTTTTGAGTCGCCCGTTGCCATTTTTTTTTAAATTTCCACTTAGCGAAGTTCTCGCATGTTTTATTCATTTTTTGTTATATGGCTAAATGTGCACTAGAAACAATATCCGCAAATAAAAGTAATATTGAAAACTGTTAATAAAATTCACTTTTCTACTTTTAAAAAAAAACACATGCCATTATATTTTTAAACTTTATTTGAGCGCTCATTTTATAAAAAAAATAGACGTTTGATTACAACAAAAAACTGTTGACAAATATAAAAAACAATGTACAAATACTTTAAAACCCTTTGCTTTTAATGTGTTGTAATTATTATGATCTTATTTGTTACAAGAAAAACTATTTATATTTTGAAAGGTAAAAAACATTCAAGATTCAAAATTATTATATATCGTCATCAATTGTTAGAGCTCTATCACTATCATCATCGCTACTAGCAAAAATCTGTATTTTCTTTGACTTTTTAACTGACACAACTGGAGTTTTGTTGTCCATGTAAAGCTTTTTTGATTAATGCTAGTTTTATTTTTTCGTGATGGTTTTAAAAGCCAGTGTTTAATGGCTTTTGTTGGATCGTATAATTCCATTTCTGGAACTATACGATCGTTAATAACTTGTTACTGACTCGTGTTCTTTGAATTGATATAATGTTTTTCATTGCGCTAAAGCCTTTTTCCGCGTCTGCCGAACTTGAGCTATGGCAAAATAAAAAATCAATCAGAGAAAAAAGATTAGCGAATCTATCTGGTTTATATAGATAGATTCGCTAATCTATCTGGTTTATATAGATTTATATAGATAGCGGTGGAAATGATTTTGAACTTGCACTTGTCCAAGTTGCTATTATTTTCTTCAATATTATCCACTCTGATAAAATATTTCCAACATCTACTTGTTTATATTCAAGTTGTTGCAAAGCATATCGTCGTCAATAAAGGCTTTTATGTTATTGTCTAGCATGTTTTTATGTAACTTTTTGTTGTTTTCAGCCGTGAAAAAGTCGCTCTCCGTCCATTCAACTGTGTTAAGCAACTCGTCCGCCTCCGCAAAGACATCTGATACATTTGAATATCGTTTCAAAATGCTTTTGCATTTGTTTGAAACGAAAATGTTTGCATATCGTTTCAAAAACTTTTGCATAGATGTAGTAATAAAAACTCGATCTTCATACTTTTATCACTTTATGCAAATTTACAATCCCATATATCGAGCGCTTGTTCCAGTAAAAACCAGCGTCTGGATTTTCTTCGAATCTTTCTAAATTGCTCGAGCGAAGACTTAACTTCACACGTTGAAACATTTTTTTTTTGTGCTAACCTAATAAAAACATAAACAATATTATTATTGGTATATTCTTAAATTTCTAAGTAAACAATTTATTATTTGTTACATTAACGTTTTAATTTAAAAAGCAATAGTGTATTTTTATTAAATACTATATAGTTAAGTTATATATGTAATTAAATATTTGAATTTATTAGTTAATTCAATATATAATTTACAGCGACAAATTATGTATTCTATCAATATACAAATAATAATTGAAAAATTAAATTTTAATCAATAAACGTTTAGGAAATAATAAATTAGAAAAAATTTCTTATTCTGAAAAAACTCTAAGCATAAGAGCAACATATAATATAACAACTCTAAGTATAAAAGCAAAATATAATTATAAAATTCGAATGAATTTGTTCTTTCAAGAAAATTTTAATAGACTTTTAATTAAATAGTTCAAAAAAAAGCGCGACAAAATCTGTTTATAACGAAGCTTTTATCTTTTGTAAACATTTTAATTTGATTATTGAATGGTAGTTATCGTAAAGTTTATACTTCTAAAACGTTTAATAACAATAATATTAGTATATATTACAATAAACTCACATATTACCTAATTATATATACTTTTTTAGTTGTTTATTTCTAAAGCTTATAACTTTTGTTTGTGTTGAATTAATACTCTGAAAAAACCTTACTAATGCCTCTGAAAAAATTGTCATTGCTCTACACACATCAAGAATATAGATCGCCGTCGACATTAAGTGCTGATCAACCAATTTCTTTGCAAAGAACTTAGCCTTTGATTTCTGTGTTGCGCTGTAGTCGCTTTCCAAGCTGATAGTCGTATAACTATGAATATGCGCTTTTAGACCATTGAGAAGATTCTCCAATGCATTTATCATATGCGGAACCCATCTGGTACTTAACTCGTAACCCATCTGGTACATTAACTCGTATGACTCTGCATTTGGCCTAAAAATTAAAATACTAAATTAAATAAATATAAAACTGCCTAAATTAATTAATATAAATTTTGATTGTTAATACTACCTCAAAATAATAAGTAAAAATACGTTAAGATATTATCAATATAACAAGACTTATTTCTTAAAATACCTTTTACACCATAAACGTTGCATGCGTTACAATAAACCGCTGATATAACAGTAGAATTTCGATGAAAAATGAAGAGTTGCTCACAAAATAGCTACAGAATTTGGAGCACTTCCTTTGAAGTGCTGGCTGCATCTTTCAGTGCCAGCTGCAATTGGTGCGACAAACAATGTAAGTGAGAAAATTGTTGCACCTACTAGCTGTTGCTGAACACTATGTCTCCGTCCAGTTAAAACATTAGCGCCATCCGTAATTAAACCTACCATTATCAGTAGTAACTAGTTCTTAAAGTACTAATTAAATTGCCTTTCCAGACGCGATCTAGAGTCATTAGTCATTTCTTTAAATTTTTTTTTTTTTTTTATAGTATATGTAGAATTTCGACAAACTGGACAAATTTACTTCTATTACTTATCTTTTAAATTATTACATATCTCTAAAATTTAATTAAATTAAAAAAAAAGAATGTTTAAACGATAAAACCTTTTTGCTTTTATTTTACTTGTATTTTCTAATTAACAACAGAAAATGCGGTAAACAAACTTTAGCATTATGACTTTTAAAATAGAGTTTTATTATTATTTTAGTTACTTATTGCATTAGTTACTTTGCATATTTTAAATCTCTTAAATTACACACACAAAAAAATAGAACTGCCAACAAAAATCAATAGTCGCCCGAAAGGGCGACTATTGATTTTTGAAAAAGACTTGATTGCAAAGACTTGATTGCATAAAAAAAAATTTTGAGTCGCCCTTCACAATATTCGGTCGCCTGGTGCCATCGAGCGACCACGAGTGTACATCCCTGATATATATATATATATATATATATATATATATATATATATATATATATATATATATATATATATATATATATATATATATATATATATATATTTATATATATATATATATATATATATATATATATATATATATATATATATATATATATATATATATATATATATATATCAGTGCTCAAAATAGCGGCCAATCAACGATCAATGATCGTCTACTTTTGAACAAAATGATATTTTGATCTCCCAAAATTAATTCTTGGCAATCAAATTTGATCGGCAAGAATTGCAAGTCTAAATTTATATTAAATATTTTAAATATTCTGAAACATTCTAAAACATACGTCACAAAAACATTAAAGAGACAAAAGTTAAACATTGACACAAAAACGTTAAAAATAGAACATACAATTATATAACATAAATTTATACAAACAAAAAGTTTAATACCCGTTAACTTTTTTTGAATGAATTTTTTTTAACGAATCAAATTTGCAACACATTTAGAAACAATAACATTTCTGTGAAAAATTTTGAAAAATAATAAATAATGCAATATGATTGGTAGAAAGAATGTTGACTTCATAACATCTCAATGCTTTAAGCAAAATAAATTTTTTTTCGGTTAAAATTAAAAAAAAAAAGTTTTAGAAATAAAATTATATTAAAAGTATTAAAATAATCATAAAATGGATGCGAGAAAAAAACAACCGAAAATTATTTCTTTTATAAGGAAATCAGGATCTGAGACACCCAATAAGAATAAAGCAAAAGTTTACGAAAGAAAGTAACTATTACAAACAGCTGTTAAGTGGAAAGATTCTACGCTTATAAAATATAATGCTAACGATTGGCTTGAAATAGAGAGTGTTGATGGAATAGTTACTGCGCTAAAATGCAGAGTATGCCAAGAATATGCTTCTCAAATTCAGATTTTAAAAGGTTAAATGCCAGAATGGAGTGGTGGAAAAGGATCCAGTTGATTGCAACACAGTTCCGCAATCATACATGCAGAAGAAATGTCTCACCAAAAAGCTTTTGAAATATTTATGAAAACAAGAGGTATGAGCTTGTGCGATAGAATTCAAAAACAAAACGAACTGCAGCAGAAAATGCGGCAAACAGACATTTAATCTGGTATTCAAACCATGCATAGTAAGAATCTTGATTTGACCAAAAAGATTTTGAGATTGCTTACTTTATAGCAAAGGAAGAACTGTTACTTAGTCTATATCCAAAATTAATTCAGTTACAAGAGAAATATGGTGTAGTCTTTGGTCAAGCTTACAATTACTTTTTCTTTTTCGTACAGTATCTTCATTAGTATCATGACTTTTTCCCTTGTTATCTCTTGAACCAGGCCTTGTCCTCACAATATCTGTAACATCAATCAACCCGTGTAAAAAGAAATCCTGCTTATCTTTTGTATTGAACTGGCTGTAGAAGTTTATAAACGCATCAACAAGGTTGTCTTTGCCAATAGATTCAAAACACTTTCTTAAACAACAAAAAAAAAATTTTACTTTATAAAAAAATTATAGGTAGCCTAGTCTAGGAAACAAAATAGAGTTTAAGTTGAAAAGCGATAAGTAGTTGTAGAGTACCCTAAAAATATCCTTATATTGTCTTAAGCCTACAAATATTTGTAACCTAAACAAGCAATCAACAACTTAGGTCTACAGGCCAACTATAAATTACAGAGATTAAACCTGACCAATTTTTGACAAATTATTACAATTTGGCATAGACATATTATTAAATAAAGAATTATTGCATATTATCTCTTACCTGCATAGATCTCCAATAGACTTTGCATCAACTTTTTAGTCCCCTGTAGATTTCATATGCCACACCAGTAAGCCTAGATTTCTTAATCTTTTTTTCAATAATTTTTATGATCAGACTCACTACCACTATCACCCATTTAAAAAAGCAGTTAATCAACTTAAATCACGATTTAAAATGATCAAACGTAATAAATCAACTTTATTCACCACGTTGTTGCACAATCAAAACAACAAAGTAAGGTTATGCTTGGTCCGTTGTCTTTAGCGCAAAGTTTCTTGTTTATTGAACCAAAACTTTTAAATACTGTACGGGCTAGAGAAAAATTTTTGACAGACATCTTTTTAACACAAAATGATGGAGCTATCTTTTGAATATACAAATTTGCTAAAAAGTCAATTTTGCAAAATATTTGACTTCCGCCCTTTTAACATTCACCGATTCATATATACATATATGACCCCCTTCCTATTAATTTTGAATGGGTAGAGGAATTTTCCTCCTGCAACGCACTAAATTAAGTTTAAATTAAGAAATTGACCAAACTTTTTAAAATTGCATATTTATTTATCGTAATATTATCTACACATGCACTATTTATAAAATTATAATCTATAAGCGGAAGTTTCAGACCATAAAAGGTTTTTTTCATAATATTTTTTGCAATTTTACAGTAAGACATGCTCAGAAAATGATACAGAACATTGATCTATTTATTTCTGCCTAAATTTTTTATTTTCCTGTTGGACTTTAAATCCAAATTTAAATCCAGTTTGTTTGAATATACAACAATAAAGCAATGTTAATGTTATTACACTTCATGTTACTTTAATGTTATATTCAAATTATAATTTATTTTAGAATAAAAAATCTATTCTTTTATTTTATTATTGAATTTCTAAACAAATGAATTAATAAATGAAAATAAAAACAAATTAATAATAATATTAATAACTAGTAAAAACAAAATACTATTAAAGTAACTTTTATAACATAATTTCACTTTGAAAAATAATTTGTCAATGAATTAGATCTACTTATATCTAAACTGACCAGTTAAAACTCCCCTCACTCTTTTTGATGTTTTTTATTAAAACAAACAAATGCATACCAAGAAAAACTAACTTTTTTATTTTAGTCAAAGGTTACCTTTTGTTGTAAGCCAAAAAGTCAAAGACATTGACTTCTAAAACAGTTTTCAAAAACTTATAAGTCATTTAAACTACCTGATATAAATAATATGATTAAAGGAGTGTTTATCAGATGTAATCTTTTGTTGCGTTTTATCATATATAATCTAATTGAAAAAAGATGGTAAGGAAAGCTGTTCAATCTTCTAATATAGGTTGTGGGCACCCTAATAATCTCCTTTTTTTTGTGTTGGTGTCCAACTTGCACAAGGATGATTAGAAAAATAAAATTATATTCAATTAAAATAGTGCTTTAGAAAAAACTTGTAATTTTTTTCAAACGTTAGTTTGACTTCACAAGATGTTTGTCGGCTATCAGTTGTCCCAGAATCTTGTAATTGATTTTTCCATTCCATTTTTCACACACACCTTCCATGCTAGTTAGAGCTCTGAAACTTCCAGCATTTGTGTAAATTTAATAAAAGTAAATCTTAAAATTGTTTTCAGAGCCAACTGGAGAACTCCACTTTTTTGAACCTCTTTTTATTTTTATTTTTGATTTTACTTTATCTTTCAGACTTGACTTTGATTTTACTTTACCTTGACAGCATTTATAACTTTTAAGAAAGAAAGATTTTTTCAAAAAAGCTTCGAAAAGCATTTTTTTGATTTATTTGTTTTTGTATTATTTTTTGTTGGGAGGAAATAAGTTAGTGACCCTGATAAAAATTTACCGTAAAGGAGCCAAATTTCTTCGATATTTGACATTTGCCAACTATACTTCAAAACTTACCAACAAATGTGCTAACTCAAATGCATATATAACAACTTGGGGCCGGGGGACGCCCCTAGTCAGCCCTGGTCATAACAACCACTTAAATAGAAATGAAAATTAATTTTTTTGTCTGTTTATGTATTAATAGCTATTCATAAAACTTTGTCTGGAATGAACTAATTTCAATTAGTCTATTCCAGACAACAATTATTCCTTTATTATTCTATTATCTAACAATTATTCTAGTAAGTTATTTCCAGAAATAACTTTCATTTTGGTTAGATTGGTTTTTAACAACAACCAGGCTGAATAAAAAAAGCCAAAATACAAAACTTAGAATAAAATTGCAAAATGCAGAGCTGTTTCCAAAGCGAAAACAATAAACCAGTCTTTCAAAAAAAAAATTTATATAACTGATGTAAATAACATCAAGATTAATTTAAAAAAATAATAATAATAAAGTTAAAAAATAAAAAGTAATTAACTTAAAAAAAAATTTAAACTTTTCATAACCACAACAGCTGCTTATTTTAATTTATGTAATATCGCGAATTTAGTAGGATGGTTCAAAAAACCACACTTTCAAATTTAAAATTATATGATCGATTTTGAAGAAAATTGTCTTGATGTTATTTTATCGTACAGATGAAATAACATCAAGTTCTTTTTTTTTCAAAAAATTTTTTAAAATTTTTTTTCTTTAAATTTTCAAATATTTAAAGTAAAAAAGTTAACAAAAGTGCAAATCACAATATTTAAATAACCAGATTCCAATCACATATTTAAAATCAAGTATATAGCAAGCTTTTTTGCTTTTGATTGAGAATTTAACTTTATGTAATGACATGGAACAAACTTCAAACATTTATATATTCATGTTTATGATAAGCTTTTTAAAAGTATTGTGATAATCGGAGTCTGTTAACAATAAATTCTTTAAATGTTAACTTCCCTTTTATACTATTAGTGCGAGAGAAATGAGTTTATAACATTTATATATACATTTTTTTTTATATTTTAAACTAAATTTAAGTTCATAAACAAGTCTCTAATGTCATGCAACAATCTCTTGGTGTTCAAAAACTATGACCATATAAATTATGAGCAATCTCCCAGATTATTAAAGAGATTTAAAATATCTTTCATTAAGTTATTAGTTCCTCTGACAATCAAATTTTGTTCCTTGTTCAAAAGTTCTGAGGGAAATTTAATTTAACTCTTTTTTTCTGAATAAGTAATCAAATGAAGTGGACTTGATATATAATATTGTTCAAATTATTCTTATTTTTATTATTATTAATTTGATAATTATCCAATTGATTTTTTTTTCAAATTTAATTTTACCATTGATTTTTTTTTTTTTTAAATTCAGACATTTTTTAATGCAGCAAATGATTTTTAACTTTTTTAATTTAATTTTTTGCCATTACAAATAATTTAATTTTAATTTTTTTTTTTTAATTTTTTGCCATTACAAATTATTACTTTTTTTTTGTAAAATATATGAAAGGCAGGAACAAGAAGAAGACAAAAATAGTCTTATTGCCAAGCCCCTAAATATCCTTAAATAATAAAGTCATTAAAAACTTGTCATTAAAATTGATGATCATGTGTTTTTCTGGAGTTTGAGTTTAATTCTGTTTTAATATATTATTTTAAAAAAATATAAACCTTTTTCTAAAATAACATACTAAAACAGAAGAAATATTGCATAAATAACAGAAAATTTGAGTTATTATATTTTTTTAACATTTAAAAAAATGTTTAAAAAAATATTATCCATGAAAATATAAATTAAACAAAATACAAGATTTAACTTAAATTGATTTTAATAAAAGTATTGCATAGTATTATACCACGTCAAAAGCATTGTAAAAAGGTTTCATAATTTAAAAATGCAGCGATTCCTTTTATCACCAACCCAAATAGAATTACTTAATCAGCATCATCTTTACCTAACAGTATTATTAATAGTTACTTACAAATGACTCTGACTTAAAAATCCCCTGCCTAAGGGCACTTGGTTGAGTAAAGGCTAGAGATGGACAGATAGGCAAAGACTTTAGGGGTAATTAGAACAATTCTGCTGACCAGCTTTGAACCCCTTCTTCATCTATTAGGCTGATGTAGATGTTTTTTGATGGCGTAGATGGTTTTTGCTTGTGCCTCCTTGATAGTGGCTTAGCAACTTTTTTTTTTGTCTCCCAGTGAAGGTACAGCTCCAAAACTCAGTTTAATGGTTGTGAGGCCAGCAGGAAGTAAGGTTTCTCGAACTCTGTGGTAGCTCTCAGAGAGCCTGGTTCCATCTTCAAACTGCAAAATATTAGAGTATTAACAGTGCCATGTTGTGCATAGATAGTCTCCCTGTTAATACTTTTGGTACGCATTGTTGAGGCCACATAAAGAGCCTTATGTTACGACTGAGGGTTTATATTTCTTATAATTAACAGGACTGAGAAAATTGCATAGCTCATTGCTTGGGAGGCCGTATTCTATCTATGAATTTTGGAATAATTGAAGTTTACAGATTCAATTATGCCAAAAGTAAACCAAAATATTAAACATAAAAAACTCCACCACCACCACCTAACTGTTTTAATATCTTTTATTAATAATCCTGATCTGCAAAGCAACCTTCTATCAGTTGAATCTTACCTCCTGCAAAATTCACTAGACTTGCTTGTCTTAGTGAGACTAATTTAAATTCTGTTATTCCTTTTTCTGATGTCAGTGTTGATGGATACTATATTTTGGTTCATAAAGTCTCCAATAGTCACATGCTTGGCTTAGGGGTATACATACAAATCAATTCACCTATCTGTCGTGAAATCAGGTTCGAATTCTTTGACCATTATTTTATGTGCGATTAAACTCTTCTACAGCTTGAGGTCCAGACAACATTCTTGACACAGTCTTACAAAAGTATTCTCCAAAACTCTCAATTCTCTCTATTTAATAAAACTATTTAATAAGTCCTTGAGTCTTGTTTTCATACCTGCTGGAGAATGGTGTCTGTTGTGGAACATATTACACGTAGTAAATAAAGTATTTAGATTCGTCTACATTGGACATTCATTTGGACCACAATACCGGTTGTGCCAGATTGAAATGAAACAATTTCAACCTTATAATGTCTGATACTGGCCGTCACATCTGAAACTGTCACATCTGACACCATAATATCTGCTATGCATGTAGATATTTTAACACAAAAAAAATCTACCCATACACTACCCTCACAGAGTTTGAACTACCCTCAGAGACCTTTGAACATATGAGTCAGTATCTTTAAATGCCAAGTCTTATGACTAGTAAAAAACTTTTATAATAAAGTGTCAGATATGACAGTATAGTTATACTAGAATTTAAACTGTACACTATAAAGCATAGAAGAGGTAGAATGTGAATTACTTTCTATTTTTAGAGTAACAAGTGAACCATTTTTATTTTGTAATTAGCAGTTGAAGGTACAGTATCATATAGCAGCTTACAACAGAGCTATGAATGTTCAACATAATTACCGAAATAAATTTGTTACATAGATGACATTTCTTCTTTAACAAATTTTGGCAATTTATAACAAAGATATAATAAATTTAATGTCAGAAATGAAAACTACAGTCGTCTACCTTACATTTGATACCAAATTTATTGTGGTTTGTTAAAAGTTAATTTTGGACATCATGGTTGACGCTTTGATAGAATTGCCTATTTATAACATAAGTTAAGACCAGCCCTCAGAATTAGGGTTGGCATTTGGCAATGCAGACCTCAAAGCCACCAACCTTGTTTCTATGTTTTATGGTAACCCCTTTGTTTAAATTTTTTTTTGCTGACCTGATGCTAAACTCTAACAGTTTGAGGTCTTATTTTTCCTAATTCTGAGGGTTGTAAGACTATCGATATTCTAGTTGAAAATGCAACAGTTATAAGAATTACTTTGTCTATTAAAATAAAGGAACATAATAGTATTATATCATAAATGACTGGGATCAATAGTCCAGTATTTTGCTTTATTGACATATGAAGAGGAGCTTAATAATCTTTTAAGTTGTTGTTTATGTTATAGTTCAAAGTTGCTTGCCTAACTTTTAAAAGATATTTTAATAGTTTGACCAGTTATTTCTACATGATACCCCATTCTATATATAGGATTGGGTATCTTTTGTAGAAACAACTGTTTAAATAAGAAATCTTTTTTCAAGCTTATAAACTTTTAAAACAGCTAGAAGGTATCTGTGTATAAATGATTCTTACTGCTACTTTTTTTTTTTACTTTTTAAATATATTCTTAAACAACATTTGAAATGTTTTTTTGCAAATTTTAATTTACATCTAATGACAATTTGAGTAAAACAGATGGAAATTTTAGTTAGTATAAAGCTTACTGTTAATTTTTTTTAAAAAACACATACATAAGGTATTTAAAAAATACATGTATGTATATATATATATATATATATATATATATATATATATATATATATATATATATATATATATATATATATATATATTTAATATGTAGATATGTATATGGCAATATTTGATAACATGTATGTATATATAATATATAGCATATATACCTCAGCCCTCGGAATTAGGGTCGACATTTGGCAACTGCCGATCTAAAAGTGTTTGAGGTCAGTAAAAAATTGCTGACTTTGTTTCCAGCCTGATGTTGATCTCTAAAAGATTGAGGTCGGCAAATCATTGCCAACCCCATTTTTCCTAATTCCTAGGGTTGATGTCTATGCATACGACAAATGTGAAAACATTATTTTTTCAATGTTGTTGCAACCTGCTGCCATATCTTAACTCTATAAAAAAGATCTTGACAAGCATGATTTATGAGCAGAAAAATAAGTTAATCAAAGAAAAAATAAATTATTTAAATTAATACTGAGAGACGGTTTTGAGTTTTAACTCATAACCAAAGTTTTTATTCTATATATACTTCAATATTACAATAAAAATAATTCTATAATTTAAATAATACCTTTTGATAAACTTTAGAAGCAAACTTTGCAATAATTATTGCTTACAAGACTTCCAAAAAAATCACAATTTTCAGTCAAGCATTTAACTGAAGAATTTTTCTAATTAAAAAATATTTGTTTTATAGACTATTAAAATCTCTGAAAATATTACTTTAATATTTTAACTTTTAGGTATGTAAATATTAAAATGATATTGTTAGGTACGGTTAGCAAACCATTACGGTCAGGGTTGCCAGGGTTTTTTTTGGGCACAAGCCAAAAATGAAACAAAAATAAACCAGAAATAAACCAGACCATAAAAAAAAAGAAAAAAATAATAATTTTTTGTTTCAAAGCCTTGTTTATAATTTATATTTTGAAAAAAATGCTTTTTTATCTAAAAATTCATCCTTTAATACTAAAATTTTATTTGTAAGAGAGTGAGGGAGGAGGAGAAGAACGACTTAGTGAATGTTTAATTGGGCCTTCAAAGTGGCGTGGGTAAATTAGTTCATTTCCAAACACCTATACTAAATCCAACACTATCAACCTGTAAAATATATATATTATTTTGCTTGCATATGGATATAGATTTCTTTTCCAACATCTGGGATAATCTATATTGCATCTATATTGCAGAGGTCTAGGTCTCCAGAAACATCTAAATGGGTTTACGAAGCAGTTTAGAATTCAGCGGTGTTTTTAGAAACTCAATTTTCTTTTAAACTCAATTTTCTTTTTAGACTCGCTCTAATGATGCAATGTTAATTAATTTATTATTAATGACAATTTCTGTAATGATTTTCAATTTCTCCACCTTTTGCATCCTTAAGATATAATTGTAGACTTGAAATGGCCTTTTCAACTTGGGAAACAACATTCAATACAGGCAGATTTTTCTCAAAAAATATCATTTTGAATGTAAGAATTTTCTAACATTTTTGGCAATTAAGGGATAAAAACAACATTTGAATGACATTACAAGTAAAAGTTTTTAATGTTTTAAGATTTTAACGTAAGCATTTCTTTCATTTATTTTAAACTTGATTGTTCTTCTATAAAATAAAAAAATGGAAACCTTTCTTTCCATCAAATTAACTTTTCATGAAAAAAAAAACTTGATTAAATTGATTTATTATTAAATAAACCAGAATTAAACCAGATTTTGAAAAATATAGCAGAACAAGCAAAAAAAGACCAAAGACTTTAAAATAAACCAGATTTAAGCCAGCTTTTCTAAAATAAACCAAAACAAAAATTTCAAGCCAAATAATAAAAAAACAAATCAGATGTGAGAAATCTGGCTTAAAAAAACACCAGATGGCAACCCTGATTACGGTTACCAATGGTAACCGTATATAATATTATATAATATTATTAAATATAAAAATAATATTATATATAATATTATTACATATAAAAATATTTTGTATACCAAAATTATATTTTTATACGAATCCATTCTTTCATCACACTGTAAGCATATTTGGACAATATTTTAAAATATTGTGTATGTGCGTGTGAGTTACACGGTGTTAGTTTGTATTTTGCATTCAAGAAATATAAACTTATTAATTAACAAATAATAAATTTACAAGAAACAACGGAGTTTAGAATGAGCTTTTAAATAAAAAATTAAAATTTTTAAATTAATTAAAATTTACTTCGTTCAAAAAATTAAACTGAAAGTCAGGAAAATCTAGCAAATATTTTATGCATCTCATATATGCAAGACACCAAGTTTGTTTGTTTACATTGACATTACATGAAAATTGTTATGGAAAACGAAATTTGATACTAAGTCCAGCGTCACAGGAAATTTTCCTGCTAAAAACTTTGCTCTTGCAGCATTTTATCTAAAATACGGCATTATATTGTCGTGCTAAATCCGAAATCACAATGGATAAACGCACAATTAAATTCAATACCTTTTATAAACTTTTATAAATTCAAATTTATAACACAATCAAATTCAATAACTTTAATAAATTCAAAAACTTTTAGTTTTAGTTTCTGTGCATATAACTGTCAAAGTATTAAGTCAAACATCTGCTATATCTCTACCTTAATTAACTCTTTCGATAAAATTATTATATCCGAGCATTGGCTTTCAAATGCTGAGCGTTTTATTTCATATGGTCTATCAGCTTCGACGCATCAATTATTTTATCACTCTTTGAAAAAAAAAATAATATGGAAGATCTTTTGGGGGAAATGCTTTTTTAATTCGTAAAAATTTACTGCTGTCTCTTCAAGTAATACACGAAGATGAACACATTCTTGCAATAAAAGGTTCATATGGCAATAGTTTTTTTATTTCTTTGAAATGAGAAATTTCTCTATTTCTTTGAGAGTGTTAACACTCTCAAACAACATGCAAAAAAATAAAAAATGCTGCTATTTTAGCAATGGAAATCTGTTTTCAACAAAAAAAAGCAAGAAATTAAATCGTGCAAAAATATTCTCTTTTTCCCCTTTAAATAATAGGAAAAAAAATAATAACTGCAGTTGCAACCAGGGCCGGCGCGAGTAGGTGTCACGTGGTGGGGTGCCATTACAACTTTTGCCGACTAAAAAAAAAAAAAAAAAAAAAAAGGTCCTCGTTTTCCAAAATTTGCCGACTGTCATTACGACATTTGCCGACTGTCTAACCTATATCGAAAGGAACGACATTTGCCGACTAACTAGTCTAAAAAGGTCCGATTTGCCGACTAAGGGTCCAGTTTGCCGACTAAAAATCATTGATGGGGGGGGGGTGTCATCCCCATTAATGATTTTACCCACACCCCCGACACCCCCCTATCGCGCCGGCCTTGGTTGCAACCTACTGCAGTTGCAACCTACTGCAATTGCAACCTACTGCATCAATATTTTTGATGATTTTATTGATTTTTAAGTTATGAGCTGTTTTTACAATTTTGCGGAAATTTTTACGAGCTAGCCTGTATTTATTAAATGAAATGCATTCTTAAGAATGCATTTCATTTAATAAATACCAAAAATATTGAGTACCTTCGAAAAAGTAATCTACAAAAGTTTTGGAACAATATCCAAAGAATTGAATCAAGTCCAAACACTCGCATTTTCACTATTAATAATAAACAAGACAAAAAAGAAATTGTAGAAGAGTTTAGAAAAAACTTTAGTGCTATTCTCAACACTCCCACGATTATCAACAACAATTACAAGCACCTTCATTCCACAATTCATAGAAGAGCCTAATAAAATTCTCGTATCAACTTCCGACATCGAAAATTGTATTCCTAAGCTTAAATCTAATAGATCACGTGATTCATACGAAATTACTGCAGAACATCTTAAATACTCGTATAATAACAACCTATTTACATGGCTTTTAAAGTTTTATAACAATATCTTCAATAATGGAGCGGTGCCGGAATACCTATCAACATCCATAATTGTTCAAATAGTAAAATCCTATAAAAAATCTCTTGATAATTCCTATTACTATCGCGGAATTCACACCTATTTTGACAAATCTCTTTGAATAATTGTTATGGAAAAAGTCCGGAAATACCAAATAGCCACTCCACAATAGCTCCACCCTTCATGCAGAGTTCCTTTTAAGTAAAACGATAAAATATTACAATAATAATAACTCATTAACATATATTTGTAGTTTAGATGCAAATAAGGCTTTCGATAGTCGAACTGGGATTTACTGTTTGAAAAACTTAATTACAACAAAAAGTTATCGCTCTCAGTAGTTCACGCACTATAATCGCTATACTTAACGGGTACTGCTAATATATCGTACCTTGGACATAAATCAAATTATTTCCGTTTATCTCAAGTCGTCCAACAAGGATCAATTTTATTTATATAATATATACACTCAAAGAATATTATTTTAGATTGCAAAGTTAGAACAACAGTAACTGGTGTATACACTGGTATTATTGTTTATGCAGACAATATCTTACAAAGTCCTTCTCTTTCCGGTCTACAAGAATTGGTTAACAAAGTTCAGTCACAATGCCAAAAGCAATATATTAAACTAAACACTGAATAACCGAGTAAAAGTTCAATTACAAAAAACACAATTCAAATAAACGGCACTTCTTACACCTCAATAATAAACTAAAACACCTCGGATTCCTATGGGATAATCAAAATCATACACAAAATATAGCAACACTTCAACAAAAAAAAAAAAAGTAAACCGAATCTATCATACGGCTTAGAAATTTGTTGTTATAATAATTCACTTCTTAATAAATTGGACGCTGTTGCAAGCTTACCATTAAAATTCCTCTTTAATATTTCAAAGTATATCAAAATCTACCTGCATCCTTTTTTAAAATTGATGACATATCTACCATCCTTAAACAAATTAAATCTGTTTATAAGACTACTGAACAATCCAACTTATTTTTCCCTGATTTTGACTCAGATATCTGATGTTACTAAAGATAAGCTATTTATCAACGAAATAATTAAAATGTGCAATCAATTTGAGCTTAACTTCGGCCAGTGTTTGATAGAAGTAAAAAATATAACAATTAAGCGTCGCTTCGATGACGTAGGAGACAATATAAAGGCAAAATTTGAACCATTCCTTTGAAACCAGAGAACAAATAATAAATAAACTAATTAAAATCAACACAATAAACTATATAGACAATACAAACAAACAAAAATATTGTAAATAAATCCATAAAAATCAGTCAAAATAACAGCGTAATTAAACCATTAAGAGATTTAAAATATAACTACGTAATTAAACCATTAAGAGATTTAAAAACTTCAATCATTTAAAATTGCAAAGATGGATTCTTGGGTTATTATCTAATTTTAACATTTCATTCAAAGACAAATCATATATTTTATAAGTTTGTCATTGTATTTTGAGCAAAACATCCAAATCAAAGGGCAGAATGAAAAATTTGATAAAATATAAGCGTTAAATAATAGAGTTACTTGTTTATAAGGTAGAAAACTTCTTATTTGAGAAAGCACTTACTATTAGTTTTTCCACATAGAGCTTTAATGTGATCACCAAAGTTTAAATCAATTATAACCCCAAGTAGCTTAACTTTATCTGAAGCAAAAATCTTGTCGTCACCAACCATTATAAATTGGCTGTTTTTTGGGATTTACGATCATGTAGTTAAAATTAAACTATTTAATGGCGTTCAGTGGTTCGTTTTGCAATCTAAGCACAACATTCTCTAAGTTGTTATCACAAACATAAAGAGTATTATCGTCAGCAAAATTGCAAATCTCAGAGTCTTTTATAAATAGAAAAAGGTCATTTATAAATATATTAAAGAATATTGACCCAATGATTGATCCTTGAGGCACTACTAATGAAACTTCTAACCACTCAAAAAATGATGAACCCAATTTAACTCTTTGTTTACGATTGCTTATAGGAACAACAACATCGTCTTCTTTGCAAGGTCATAGCAGATGGCGGTTGTGTTTTTTTAACCGTTGAAAAGGAAATTTTTTACTAAAGATTTTTACTTAACAAAAAAAAAAAATAGAAAAAGAAAAGAAACAAAAAATAGTTAAAAAAAAAAAAAAAAAAAAAGAGATAAGTTGCAAAGTTAATACGAAGATAAGAAGAGAAAATCAGTTTCTAAAAAGAGTAGATAATTTTTATAGTTTTTATTTGTATCTATTATCTTTTATCTTATTTTAAATATTACACTTTTGTTTTTATTTATATTAGTACAATTTATTATTAGATAACTTATTTTGATATATAATATTTAATATTTATTTTTATTATTGTTATTATATTTTTTAATTTACATTTCTCTTAACTTTAATTAGTTTTTTACTCTTTAGTCTGATTTTATAATTTTCTACAAAATTTTTGTTTTTGTTATAGTTTATTGTTTGTTTGGCTGTTGCGTTATTGTTTAACTACCATTAATATTATTTATTATAATTGTTAGTTTTTCGATACTTTAATTCTTTAGTTTTTAATAATCTATTCATACGCATTATTTTATTTATTTTAACAACTATTAATAACATAGCTATTTACTTCCTACTTATTGTTTCTTAAATTCTCTCTAATATTGCGGTTCCACTCTGGCTTTGAACTCTCATTTGTGTAAAAAATTAATTAGTTAAAGTTGCCGCTCATCTCAATGTAATATTTGTTTATTTTTGTCTCATACAAAATGTGACAGGCTTAATGATAATAAGTACAGTTTACTACAATAAAGTCGCTCGTTGCGGAGTTGTTCAAACTGTATTAAAAGTGTCTTTCCATTCACAGATGTACAAGATAATGAATTTAAATTGCTATTTTCTTCTGATATAATTCTTAAAACTGATGATTTACCTCTGTCTACAAACATTTTCCCGTCTTTTCATTTAAATGAAGTTTCTAATTAAATTAATAATTATGTTTCATCTCGTGTTTTAGATTCTAAGGAAGAAATTCTTCTTCATTAG